TTAAATATTTAATAATTAGAAGAATATAGCATAGACTTCACCAAAGATCTGCTGGCCTTTAGAAAACGGTTTGTTTTAACATTTGAGCAGAATCCTCCACTACGTGACCTGCAAACAAGTTTTTCATCTACAAGGATCTGTTACACTCGGTAGAACTGCCCTCATTCCCCATGTACACACTGTAGCTGCATCCTTAGGAAAGCCAAATTTTCGGATGAGACCAGGGCTCACAAGAGCTCGCGCTGTGTCATGAGCTCAGCATTCTTACGAGGGAGCCGTCTGGTGCTCAGGGGTTTCTGCAGTTTTTTCTTGTTACCATAATCGTATCCATTTTATATTGCTGGTGTCCATCCGAATCTGAGAAGAGCCTGAAGCAGTATCGCAGAAGCATGAACTGTCCTGTTTGTTCAGTGGGGCATTTTAACTTTTGTGCTTAGCAGTAACACTCTAAATATGAATGTGCCAAATTACTGATGAAAACAGGAACTCATATAACATGAACATTTGCGAATGATTTCTGAAAGACTTCTCATCTTTCCCTCCCTTTTCTTCTGAACCATCAAAGCTGTAGTGTCAAAATCATTACTGGAAGGCAACAGAAAATAATCCTGCAGGTATTTCATTGCTCCCAGAGGCCAGTCAGTCTTGCAGGTACTAATTCAGGTATCAGCCGATCAAGGTGTCTTTTTCACAGCACGACTATTTGTGGGGTTTTTTACAGCAGTTAATAACATTCAAAGTGTGTATCTAGGTTCCTCCATCTGGCCATATACAAAGGAAGAATACTTCTCAGTATCAGGTGGCCTTGCTCTGATAGCACATCATGACTCTGGGACCTGGGAGTAATGCTGCTTCCAAGCTGTCACTTGGTTTTAGTCGAGAGTGAAAAGCAGCTCTGCCTTTAGAGCCAGGCAGGTAACAGTAGGATGGTATGTGGTGAGAGTAGCATCTCATTTAAATTTTTAAAATTAAAACACTTGAAAGATCTTACTTCTTGATTTACCCCCAGCTTCCAACTTACACTGTGAACAGGACACAGATGGATGCATAGCCATTATCATGCTGCTGTTTTTCTGATGAAAATATGCTTTAAACCTGGTGACTGTGCTGTGCTGAGAAATAGAGGATTGTGAGTTCCAAACTCGTATTTTCTGGTGGGTTTTAATAGTGCTTTGCTCTTCATTGCCCTGATTTCTGAGCATATCATATCAAAGTTCCCAGATGCTAGTGGCAGGCTAAATCTCGAATACTAGTATATCTGGACAGTGTTGATTTTAGTACTTGTATACATAGGGAGTTATCAAGGACAGTGCTTAATGTAGGGACTCAGCATAGGTGTAGATGTTGCAAATAGGTATTTGTAATATGTTTAGTTTTAAGCAACAAGTCCATAGGTAATAGACGTAGTTAAAAATATAGGTATTTTGAACTAGAAATGGGAGCTGTGAAACTACTGTTAGTTGTTTTCTAATGTTGATGCTCAGTGCTGTGCAACTCATTGAATTACACGTGAATTACAATTCATCTCTGGTGTAGATAGAGCACAGACATAGTCAATAGTGTACCTAACCAAATACGCAATGAGAAGCGCTACTTGCGTGACTCGGCATATATTAGAACAAAACAGGGTATTTGAAAGCCTGGGTAAGGGTAGAAATCTAGAGATCTTCCTCCTGATGGCAGTTGTGCAACATCACATCCTGCTTTCCCAGTCGAGGGGTGATAGCTCCGCAGAGCTCGAGTATCGGGACAGATGGCTGATTTTAAATGCCATAAACATGTGGCAATAAAGGAGCATAATTATTCCACTTGCGAACCTATGGATCTCCATATGTGATTAAAGAATGACTAACTAAAAGACTTAACCCAGAATGAGAACTTGGATTTTGATCAATCAATCAGAGCAGATCAGCTGGCCAAGGCGTTGATGAGCTAACAGGAGGCTGCCTTTCCCCCAGCCTGCCAGCTATCCGCTCTTGGATGTGCCTTCTGCGGAATGGGCCACGCTTCTGCGTGCGATGCCTGCTGTCTGCTCTTTCAGTCTGTTACCTGTCCTTGCTTGGTGTCTTGTTCGCAGAGGATAATAACCTTTCGTGTTGCTGCCAGGAAGTGTGGTTTGAGCTGAATGAGGAAGATTTATACTGAAGCAAGGAAAATCTGGAGTGAAAACATTGTTCGTCATGCAGATTGGAATGAATTGCTGCCACTAACAGAAATCAATAATTTTAAATTCACATTTTTTCCCCTTTGGGAAATAAAAGTGCTTTATAAAAACAAAGTTACTTAGACTGCAGTCTAAAGAACCCCAGAATTACAGCATGCAGGCTAAGTATATCTATGCCTCAGTTGGTACCTTTGCATATATTACGATATCCTTGAGAAGGTGATCACTCACCATTTCCCTGCTGTGCTCAGGGAATGAGGCCCTTATTCAGTATATTCTTCATCTGTGAGTAGCACACATATTACTTACAGGACACTGTGTAAGAAAATGTATGTGCTGTACACACATAAACCTTTTCTCAAATGTGGCAGTCCACTATTTTAATAAATCTGTAAGTCATTTTTAATGAAGCTAGCTTCAAAAAAAACTATATGACATAAATGCTAACTATTTTTTGAAGAAAAGCTATGTGCATTTATATGAAATATTTTTGAAAGCTCTACATTCTGTGAAAGTACTATAAATCTGAATCATTATAGGGAAGAAAAAAGGGTAATATGGTCAGTGACATAACACAGAATTTTATTTATAGTGCATACGTTGCTCTAAGCTTTAGGCTATGGGTAGCCAGCTTGTTTTTAAAGCAGACCTAACAACATCTTGCAAACTACTTATTCTGATATATCTCCTTACAGATAATCATTCAAAGCCAATGGAAATTGATGGGGATGTTGAAATTCCTCCTAACAAAGCAACAGTCCTTCGGGGCCATGAATCAGAGGTGTTCATCTGTGCCTGGAACCCTGTCAGTGACCTGCTAGCATCTGGGTAAGACCATGACTGAAACCAGCTGCTGCAATTAGAGTATATTTAGAGATGCAAGAACTTCCGAGTGTCTACTAGAGATGAATGAGCATTCGCTTCACTCTTTTTTCAGCCTGCAACTGTATCTTTCAGCAGTCCTGTACCTATGTAGGGCTTAAGTAATTATAAGGTGATGCAGAATATGAAGCATTTGCACATTTAAGATGTGCAGCATATGGCCCTGAATACACATACATTTTTAAAAGGGTTTTAAAATAACTGTGGATAATTCTCAGAGTATTTGAGGTTCATGTAATCTACTCCTACTTAGTTAATGGTTCACATTGGAGTCTCAGAAAGTTTTTGGCATCCCAGTTTTGCTGTGAAGTATGGAGACTCTAAAACGGAGTTCTCTTTGGCTATGTCCACATTGGCATAGTGCAGCACAAACAGGAATAGATCTGTAAAGCAATACTGTTGCGTGAGGACCTTATGTCACCACCGTTTGTATCGGAGGAGCGCTTCAGGCTGGACCTAGTTTTGTATGATGAGCAGATCATGAGAGCGTGCTTTGGTTTATTGTCATTGAAAAGGAACCTAGTTTGTGTTCTTCAGGACTTCTCAGTGACAACCAAAGCGTGGTAAGTGGGACAATCATGAGACTGACTTACAAAAAGCACTTCTGATCCAAATAAAAATGCTAACGTAAACATACCCCGAGGGCTGTATACAGGCACTGTTGGAATTTGTGTTTGTTCATGCATAAAGTTAAACCTTAAAACAAAGGCTAAATTTAAGAAGGCTAGCTGGGAACATGGAGGAAAGCTGATCCAAGTTAGAGGAAAGACATGGGTCTTCATCACTGTAAGTTGCTTAGCAGTATCGAAGACATTTCTTAGAAGGAAGAGGAGAGTTCTTATTTTATTTCAAACTTTTTGCAAGATCATCAGAATAATCTTCTTGTCTTTGTTGACTTAATACATGAAAATAAGGAATTAGAGTGCACGTGAGAAAGAATAAATAGGAAAACTAAATACCAGATTGGATAAACAGCACCAGATCTCTAAGAGAGTGAAGACAGAACTTTCCAAAGAAGAATTTCAGATAACAAACTGGATTTTTCAAAAATATAATCTTACTGAATATGCTTCATTTCTGGGATGTCCAGGCCTGATAGTACTTTTAGCATCTGTAGCACCTAGGTGTCTTCATTTATTAATTTTAAATAGATACAGCATTAGAATTTGCAAAAACTGTATGTAGGGTGTTTGGATGAAAAACTTGGGGTTTCAGCTCTTTTTTTCATAGGCTCAGTGTGTCTTCTGGTTTGCGATAGAGTCCCCAGGTGATGCCATGATACAGACAAGAGCAGTAATAGCAGCCACACTCCTGCACCATGCATTTGCTGTATCTTCTGCTAACCATATGCCTCTAACCACTCAGTTTTCTAGTGTCTCAGGCAATATTTCTTGGCAGTATTACTTATCCCTAGCAAATTATTATTATTAAGAAGGGAAGTCCTGATGTTTAAGGTCAGTCTCCAGTTACAATAGGCAAGTATAAAACAGTTATTTCACACAGATTGCCCTCTTCATATTGCCCTCTTCCCAGCATACAATTGAGTGAGCCATAAAATGAGATCTGTTTAATGTATAAATAAAAATTAGGATTGACAAATGTGAAAGAACTGTAGCATGTGATATTCCTTAATCATCCCGGCCCAAATCTGAGAGGATATTTTCAAGGAAAAATAAATGAATCAGGGGAAGGCAATGAATCTGTGATTTACAGGAATGTTCCTGCCTAGATAATGATTTGTAAATCAGCATCAAATGATCTTGGATGAACATGCTTCTGTACTAATCCTCTAACTTTTCAATGTATGCCTGACTACCCATAGATGTTAAATCATGTCCTAATAGTGAAGAAAGCCTCAAAAACTAAGAAGAATTTAGTTAACCCCATTAAATTATTTTCATGGTTGTTTCTTATTAAAGATGAAAATCTAGAGATTTCATAAAATCTGGAATAGCTTTCCCTTAGTGGGGACAAAATTAATTAGAATTTCATGGGCTGTCTTGACACCAATAGCTCCCCTATTTAGGATCATTCAAATGAAGGGACTGTATTTGTTGATACAATAGATCTCTTTTAGCCCTGTCATCCCAAACAATACACTTTTTAATACAAGTAAACTTACCCATTATGGGATTTATTTGAATTATATGGAGAACAGTCTGCAGGCGATCAGTTAGCACACCCACGTTATTATCTGAAGGAAAATCGGGGAGAAGGATACCACACAGAATTATTCTTTAGGGACACCTGGTGGCGCCTGAGATGAAATGAACACGCTGCTATATTCTGGAGAATATCCGCACAGCTGAAATTAGGCATCTACTCAAGTGCTCTGTCCCTCTGCAGGTACCTACATCTCTCAACCCATTACACAGGGAGTTAAGACTCCGAAGTAGAGCTGCTCAGACCTCATCTGTTGGCTTTGGCATTGGTAACTACTTCCTGGTATCGAACTCACGTCTCTGCCGGTGCTTTTGCCGTACTATACTGCTTCCCTAGGATCCGTGGTTCACAGCCCTAGTGTGCGTAGGTTAAAGTGTGGACCATTTAATAAACCAGAGTATGTGCTGCAGGGACGGAGGAACTAGTGGGCGTTTAATTTTACTGCAGGGTGCTAGGCACTGGTAGACGGATCGCTGGGACAGTGATATCTTCTTACACAGCTTCAGGTAAACCTGGAGGATGATAATCAGAACCATTAGTCAGATGTCTAAGGTAGAGGAGTACAATCTCACTATCCCTTCAATTAAGCTTTACCCTTCAGTGTAATAGATCTTTCTTAATAAGCTTTGCTGTTGGTTTTGGAGGCACATAAATACATGTGTGGTTAGAAAGTACAGTCAGGTGCTGTGTCTCATGCAGACTAATGGCAATGCAATGAAAATGCAAGTAATTTAGAACCGTCTGCATCTTGATCAGATTTTAGTCTGCTTGCAAGAAGGAAAGTACATGATGCAGTTAGCCTTCCCATAATGCAGCAGCGAGTGCCTGATGATGCTTTCATGACTGAAATGGCATAGAATGCACAGAAGAAAATGAAACCAAAGGAAGAGAGCTGAGTGCCTGAGTATGCCACTGCACAAAGAAGCGTTTGAGATGTCTGGTATAATAACAGTGCAAGCTATCATCTACAGGTAAACTATGTATTATGGCACCAATTAAACGAGGGCGAGAAATTCTCCAGGATCTACAGTATGCTGCAGTTCTGTTTGTCCTTCACAAAGTAATTCTTCAAAAAAGAAAACTGCAGTTAGTCTGATGTGCGAAGACCGAATTGTTAGATTCTATAATAGCCATATTGTGCTGCCCAGTCCGTAGTTTTCTTCTGGTTTCCCATCTGCCTGATTGTACCCATCTGTTGTCTTCTTAAAAAATACATGTAAAAACTATTAAATAAAGGAAATAACACATTTGTTCTGTTTATAAAGTGCCTAGCACAATCAAATCTCAATTCATGGCAAAGTATTTTCTTCAAGCCTTGTTATACAGGCAATACATTTTTCTAACAATTAGTGGCACTTTAGACAGCAACTTGATGTAATCTTCAAAGCACTTAAAGAATAATGCAGGTTCACAACTTAGTCTGAAGCAAGCTGTATAAGGGGATTTCTTTGCAGAATGAACTACCCAAAACTAGAGCACTGGTTTCCAGATTTAGTGAGTATCCCACTGACAGAAAGGAATTTTGGTATTTGATGTCCCATCTACTCCATTGCTATGACTTTTTAGGGTGTGAAGGCTAGCACAGGAATATATACTCTGTGAACTTTGCAAAGGGCTATTTGAAAAAAAAACCCAACAATGGAGACAGGAATTTCTCTGATCAAATAGCCATAAAAATATATTCTGCAGCTGCTCTTCCTCCTCCACCACACCCATAACCCTTAAAGCGGATGAAGGAGGAGACTAGAGATGCCAGTAAAGGCTGCCAAAGGCATGACTGTCACCAGATGCTGATGAGAAGAACGCTTAGATGTTATGAATGGAAACATTATAATAGTACAGTAAAGTGCATACATACAGCCATGTAAGAGGATTAATGACCCTTTATGAAGGAAATCAACATTCCAAAGCAAATAATTGCATATAGTGTTTTGGACAGGTTAAAAAAGAAAGGGGGAGATGCTTGGCTAAATCGCAAGATTTGGCCATTTCTGGCCATAATTCCTGTTGTCCTCCTCTTCAAAGACTGATTTCTTCCGTGAGATATCTTTCAATATGTAAGTTGTAATTTTATGACACATGTAAATTGTTACAGATGCTTATGTTCCCTGGGTAGTGCAGAAACCCATTACAGCTATGTCCACATTAGTAAACTAACCATGCCTGGGAATATTCCTAGGCACTGAGGCCAACTGGCACAGAATGGCCAGTGTCTGTGCTAGCAAACTGTCCTGGCTGCCAAACAAACTGCATATTGGGAATTGTCTCTGGACCATTATAACCACCAAGCCATGCCCAGGAGCTATTCAGAGGGAACATCAGGGCCCTGAGCAAGAGTGCTAATTAAAACAGGCCAGAGTCTGGCCAGGGAATCACCTCTCAGTTTGCGAGCATAGGTGATCATGGTCCAGTGACACAGAGTGTTCCTGAACATGGTTGAATTTCCCAGTACGGAAGTGGATGGACTGTGAATGTCAAGGTTGGTGGAGCCTTGAACTCCAAAAGCTTTGCTAGCTGAATTTAGGATGCTCTGTCCGCACGTTCAGCTGCTGCTTCCAAGAGCGTGCTGTTATATCCAGCCGTGCCCTTCAAGTAATTCCCGTAGCCATGAAGCAGAGGGACTTGGCCTCATTCCCAGTACCCAACAGCAGGTTTCTTTGCTTATCTTTGCTGATCTATACCAGCCTTTTTCACACAGCAGAGCTTTGTCTCGTGCAGAGCACTCTGTGCACCTTCGCTCTTCCCTAGTCAGCAAAATAGTCATAAAAAACTCTTGTCCATAAGATCTTTCAGCTCTGGCTGTATCTCTCAGAAGCACGAAAGGATGTTTCTAGGCCATCTCCTGTCATCATCTCTGGGTTTTATACAATGCTTCGAGTTACTGTATTCCTCCTATCAGTGGTTTAGGATCCATTGTGAATTACCTTTCTGAATAATCCTTTTGAATTACCAGGTTGAGGGAGTTGATTCCACACACCGCCCCTCTACTCAATGCCAGGTGTTAATTCTGCTTACTGTAAGTGCTTATTCATTAGCAGGTGACTGTGTTGCGGCCAGCTTCCTCATTGCATCAAGTCCATTAATGCAAAGCGGTCAGCTATTAGGTGAGGTCTACCAGAATAACCTGTTGCAGGTAGCAATGTTGTAGAATCAGTGGGACAGAGATCTCCCTCTGGATACCTCTGAGGCACCTCCCTCTACTGACTGCCTAGGAAGCTTAAGCACTTACTTTAAGAGACCTGTTTTATTAAGGAAAATGAGGAGTGTAAATGATGAGGAGGAGTTTCATTTCCTTTATGCTTTTAATAATCTCTTTTAAAATAAAATAATAAAAAGTCTAGCCTGTTTGAGCCAGAACTGTTAAATACACATTAGCAATATTGCATATCAAAATCGCAGTGATTATAAGACTTGCAGCTGAAGATTAGAAATACCAGGGGTCAACAATCATCTTGCAATTTTCTTTACGCAAGTGTAGCTGTTTTAACCTCCCAGCTGATGGGAATCGGGATTTTACATGTCACAAATAAAATTCTGCAAACATTCGCCCACCTTGATTCATGATTATACAGAGGCTGGAGAGCATGAAATAAAATTCTTTCAGAACTAAGCCTTCCTAAAATTTGGCAGTACCCTACCATAGTGCAGAACAGTATACCTATTACTCAAGTGTTCATGACTTGCATGTTGGAATGAGCTGCTTTATCATGCAGATAGAAATGCTTCTGCCGGCTAAGGAGATTAAATATATTTCTGAATTGTGCTTGAACTGTGGTCCTCTAATAAGGCAGGGTTCATTGAATCGTTCAACAGAAATCAGAACACTTTCCAGAGCTGAGAATACTCTTTTTTTATTTTCCCCAGCAACAAAAGGAAGACACACAAATACCCCTGCCACACACTGGTAGGCTTATAAAGCCTCTCTGCAGGGACACGTAATAGCTTATGTAGCCTTAGGAAGAAGAAAATGGAAAAACAAAAATAAAATACTGGAAAATAAGATTGCCCAAGCATCGCCAGAAAGCTGACTAAATAAAACTGTTGAAAAACAACACACAACCCTTTAGAACTAGCAAATGGGATATTGTGTTTGATAGCCAAGTGGCTGAGTACATTATTCACAGGGTCCAATAACAAACTGGATTATTACAATGAGGACAGGACTGGCCCAGAGTCCTATATAGCAGAGAAGCCAGCACTGAAGGAATTTCCTACTTAGCATATTAACCAATAACCCAAGCCTATGAAAGACTTATGTTCCCATTATTGTAAATTATCACAACTAAAAATGTTCCTTAACTTCTGAGCCTCACAATTAACTGTGTTAATTTTCCAGCCAATGTGCAAAATTGTTGCTCATTTTTCCAGGCCTCTGAAGAAATAAGGAGTTATATCACAGTCACAGCTCTGTGTGGTGGCAAAAATTATCCTGATTCAAATTATTTCTTAGTCGCTAAAGTTGAAAGATTTGTGCCAAACATTAAAAGACTGGCTATACAGCAGTAGCTTGTGGTTAGCCTGGCAAAGCTCGGGCCAGCCATCGCATCTCAGGTTGACACAAAGGGTTCAGAGGAGATGGGGGGCACATTGCCCAGGCGTGCCGTGACCCAGCGGAGCTCAGAGCCACTCGTACAGGCAGAGAAGTTTTTGCTTTTACAGTTGAACCGTTGTTCCTATAAAATTTGGCTAAATTATTGGTAAAATAATACACAAAGGTCAGTCAAGTTCGATACTTGATTGGGCAATATTTGCACACTAAGACGCGTCAAGTGTTTAAAATTTGCCCAGTACTTGTAGCATAAATAGTTAAAATGTTTTATTAGTAGACCAGAAGAAAATTTAATATTCTCTTGTGACAGATTTCCTGTTCAGTAAAACATGGTTTATCAAAGCAAAAACAGATCTCAGGTTTTTAGTCTTCAAAGAAAGACTTTTTCTCCTTGTTAGTGTACAGGAAAGGAAGCTTTAGTCATTACTTTATAATAAGGAAAAGCTAACACATCAGGTATATCAACAGTAAAATTTCATCTAGACTGTGTGAATTCTTGGAAGGATAAGAGAGATCCTGATTCTGCTCCAAGAGTCTACTTACTGCATGTAAATGAAAATTACCCTCTGGACAAAACAAGCAATCCAGGGTACTTTGATTGTTTTGGTTGGTGTTGTTATTGATTGTT